AAGGTAACAGTAACCATTAGAGCAGGAAAATCATTTTAACACTTGACTTTAAAACCTTGAATTAACCGTGTGCTTTAAAATACTTTCACACAAACCCTTATTCCGTTTTTTCGAATAGAAATCCTTACCACACAAACTTATTTTATAATCATCATATACAGTGCACCAAAAAAAATACTTTGAACAAGTTTGATAGAGTGATCGGATCTTCGTGCTTCAGGACTCAATCTTAAAGGTTCGAGAGGATGACTTCAAATATGCTAATTGGTGCAGATGATGTTTTAAATTACGAAATGAGCCATAAAAAACTTCTTTCTCTGAATGCACATACCCTTTTTGACGAATTCGGTTTTCTGATCCCCAAAATATAGGGGGTAGCCACAATGGGGGAAATGTGGTCCCTATAGTTTAGTAAGGAGAACGATCCTATAATAAAAGTAAAAAAGTCGTATATTGAAAAATTCGATTTCTCAGAAACTGTTGGATCAATTTCTGTCAAGTTTTGTATCTTGCCATGTAAAATTAAATACTTTAACATGATGAAAAAATTTTATACTTTAACAATTCAAGACGTTTTTGACTATTATTAAATAAAATAATAATAAATAATAAATATTCGCTGAAACTTACTGTTTGGGGCCGAATTATCTTTGGGTCAACAAATTTTATAAGAGTGTGCAAAAAATTTTCAATTTGCTTAAAATGTTTTCGAGATAAGGAGAAATAAGCAAAAAGTAAAATTAACATTAAGGAGTCCAAATTTTGGACCGCGCTCACGAAAAATTACACTGAAAAAATAAATTTTCAGAAAAAATGTGTCTATATATTTGAATTTCATCCCAAATGAAGTATTTTAAGCTTTAATGGCAATCAACACACCGTCTTGAAAATAAAAAATCAACTTTATACTATAGTTGAATAAGAATTTCTAAAAATATGCATACATTTACAAAATAGTTTAAATCCTAAATATACCTCCTTTCTCTTCTTGTAGATACCCAAATCTTTTTTTCTATCAGTTTATGAAAAAGTACATAAATTTTCAGAAAGGATTTTAGTGTTTATATATTCAACATTCATTGCATATGAGACATTAACCTTCAGTCAACGTCAACACACCGTCTTGAAAATAAAAATCAACTTTATTCCATGGCTGGTCATAAATACGGTTAACTGGTGAAGGAATGAATGTTGGCGCCATTTCTCATCATGTAAACCCCAGGGAAAAGAGAGCTGGCCAGACATAGGGTGATGGTCCGTGAAGATTCTCATGCTCTTCCATAATTCATCCCAACTCCAGAAGTCGCATATGTTGGCTGAAGATATTCCTTCATCGCTTTAGGGATGCTGTTCTACTCCACCCACCAATGTTCCACTCCAAGTCTTCCTTGCTCTTCCACATCTTTTTCTTGCTCTCAAGCATCCTGATCCTCCCACCGATGAAGTGACCATCCATTATATTTGAGAGAAATATCTCTTCAACTTTTAATTTCCATGATGGATGACCGCTTGTAGAAAGTTGCCATGTGTGTGCACTTTCTGGAGCTGGAGATGGGGAAAAAATTTAATTTCTGTCTTATCACAGGTTATTTTTGTCTTGTTGAATTCGATTAACTTTGGTGCGGTGCCAGAGGTTTTAAATCAGTACTCTCAAAGCATATTTATAAACTGCTTCCGCCCTCTTTTTTGCTATTAGACTGGAGAACATTTTTCAGTATTAAACTTTGTAATGGCCTTTCATTTATGATTGCTTTTGTTATGGATTACATGTTTACACGAGTTTCTAATCTGCACAATTTATTTTCGGTTTTGACATTAATTGAAATTGGTGAAAAGCATGATGAGGGATATTTTGGGAACAATGGAATATCTAGGATTAGAGAAACATATTACGGTCATGCTAGAGCGAAAACACATTACTGCACATGTACATATGGCATTGGATTTTTGCGCTAATTCCTATAATAAGATGGTTTTTAGAGAGAGAAAAAAAATGGCTTGAGTACACTTTTATGCTACAGATATAATGGTTATATTCTCAAAATTTAAAAAGCTATTATTTATCTAATAATTATTTAAGTATTAAAATTCGCAAAGCATTTCCAATTTTGATTGCGTTCGTTATAAATGACATGTTTACGCGATTTTCTAATCTAGACAATTTAATATGGATGTTGACATTATTGGAAATTGGAGCTTGGTAAAAAGACATGTTGAGAAATTTTTTTTGAAAGATCTAGGATTATAGATACTAAGATCAGGCTTGGTAAAAATATATAGTTGCACATAAACATAATAATAACATTAGTTTTTTCCACTAATTCATTAAATAAGGAGGTTTTTAATGACACAGAAACGTCTTGAATATATTTTATTGCTATCGCTCTTATAGTCCATTTCCCCAAAATTTAAGAAGCAATTATTTAACTTGTAGTTATTTCAGTATTAAACATTGTAATGTATTTTCATTTATGATTGTGTTTGTTGTAAATTAAATGCTTACCCAAGTTTCTGACATGGGCAGTTTAATATGGGTTTTGACATTAGAGCTTGGTAAAAAAAAACCAAGTTAAGCGATTTTTTGGAAGCAATGAAATATCTAGTATTATAGAAATGTACTAAGGTTATGCTTTGTAAAAAAATGGAGCTGCTTAAAAACATATAATATTGGTCTTTTTCTGTTAATTAATTTAATAAGGTGGTTGTTAATCAGAAATAAACGGTTTGCAGGCATTTTGAATTGAAAATAAATGGTTTGTAGGCAAAGAATTCGTAGTTTATTAAAATTCAAAAATCTATTACTTAATATATTGCAATTTAAATATTCAATTTGGTAGTGGATTTTTCTTTATGGTTTCGTTTCTTATGAATTTCACATTTATACGTGTCTCTTTTCAGTTTTTTCTTTTCAATTTATTATTATCAATTTATTTTTTTCAATTATTTATTTTTTATTACTCACACATTAATGAAAGAACTTGGGAAGAAAGAGCTTGTCAAGTAATATTTCGAAGAAACTCAAATATCTGGAGTAATGTTCAATGCATAACTATATAAAATTGACTTATTTTGAGATTTCATTAAGAAAATCGTAAAAAGTTTTTCAAGCATTTGATGGCTACTACAGGTTGTAAAGTTTGTTTTCTCGAATGCAGAAAAGCTGTCTCTTAACATGATTTTGCAAAGTCTTCACATTTTTATTTAACTTTGTTCAGAAGTAATACTGTGTCACAATGTTTTGTGACATAAAACTAATCAATTATTGTTAGCTTTAATTTTTTAAATACATCCTATTAGGTAGGTTTTTTGCTACGCTATCTAAAAATATGTTATTTTATTAAAAAAAATTTCCATATCCATATGAATATTTGTTGTTCAATCACACTAAAATAATTAGTTTTGTAGTTATTAGCTTCGTTTTTGATAGCCTCAAACTGCGAAAAGCTTATAAATGAAAGAGAAATCGATATAATTAACTTGAAAAGAGACAGAATAATGAATGCAAATTTTTTTTCATAAAAGGGGGGTAAGTAGTTAGGGTTATATTAGTTTGGGCATAATCAGATAATCAGACCATAAACAGATCTGTGATTGTTTTCTCGGCAAATCAGATAATTGGTGAATATACATGTTAAATAACATGTTTTCTCCAACTTGCGAATTCCGTGAAAATGTTTTATTCCAAAAGTGTCATTCTTTAAGAAAAGGGTTTTTCAACTTATCAAGCGAAGGCTCAAAACAAACTGATAGGTTTGCTTTTAGATAGGTTTGAATATTTTCCAAAATAATTTTTTTAAATATTCATATATAAGTAAAATTCCACATGATTTCAGATTTTAACAAGGAATAAAAACTATTTAAGCAGGAAGTTTATGAAATAGAAACGAGGAAATAAAAGGATACATAATAATAATAATATGAAATAATAATAATATGAAATAATAATATATAATATANCATATCATAATATATAATAATAAATAATAATAATATGCTTGATAAACTAAATAACAGGAAAAATGTTGGTTTCATGTAATATTAAGATTGAGAAGCAAATCTTTGTAAAATCAACAAGAACAATGAGAAACTATATAATAATAATATCAGCAATAAAAAATAATAGTAATAGTATAATCGAGTGCGTTGTGAAACTAAGTAATAAAAGATTTGATAAACGAAATAATCATGGAACTGAAAAATGAAATGATAATATAATTAGTTAATTAAATAAGAAATCCATTAACTAAATTTCCTGTTTAACATAAAAAGTTATCAAAATTAAAATTAAAATTCAAAGTTAATTTTTTTAGTTAATTTTTTTTAAAATTCAGTTTTAAGTTAATTAACTTTTTAGTTTAGTTAAAAAAAATTGATTTTTTTAAAATTATAATTTTAACGTATTTTTTAAAATAAAAATTAAAATTTAATTTAAATTTTATATTTAATTTCATTTAATTATTTCAATTGTTAATTTTATTTTATTTTATTTAAATTTTTAATTATTTAAATTAATTGAAAAACTTTCGAATCATTTCACTTTGAAAGGTTTTGTGATTCTAGTTTGGGTCACATCTCAAATTTCCCTGCCTTAACAAATTTGGATCTGAAATTTTAAACCAACTTGCAAATGAAAATTAAATAGTTAAAAGAAATACTTTATAATATTTGAAATAATATTTTTTATAATAGGGTTTCGATTAATTACAGAGAGCTAATTATTTTTGGTGCGTACGGGATGATAATCACATAATCACATCCTCTTATATCTGTGACTGATTTTTCAACTTCTAATTGGGTACTTCAAATTGGAGAAGAAGTGTAGTTATTATGCCTAGCCATTTGATTTAAATCAGATTTTATTGGATTTAGTGACGACGTGTGTTCAGGATATGATTAGATTCTGGCCCTAAAATGTCCCGATTTACTCACGATGACGTCACATGCAAGTATCCAGTTATCGCACTTAACACAGAAATTTAAGTTGTTAATATTTTTTCTAGGTTTCTGAAGTATGAGCGAATCCTACATATCCGTCGTCACTGAAGAACCAATCACGTGTGGTACTTTATTAGGGCCTTTGCCTCTTACTTCTGGATCTCCAGACTCCTTGGCTGTTCTCACTTGGCGTTGTGTCGATAAGCTACCCCCTTCCAAGCAAGCTCTGAAGGTATAAACAAATTTATATTTATGTTGCATTGACTTCATGGAGGGATATCTGCAATTAATTATTCTAAATTATGTAATGTATGACCAAAAGTAACCAGAGAATGTAAAAGGTAGATAACAGGTTATCGGATGTTTGTTAAACCTAAGCAACCTAGCTTGGAAAACAATAATAGGAGAAGGATTTGGAGCTTTAAATGTAAAAAATTCCGGATCAAATTTCGGTTTAAAAAAAAACAGCACTCAGGGTGCCGGTATTTTTTACCGTAAAATCTATTTTTACCGGAAGATGTTGTGGAGCAAAAAAATCTGATATACAGTACTCTTTACAGCAATAATTACCGTAAAATCAATGAATAACTATAAATAAATACATACTACTCTAAAAATTACGGTATAATATTTCACGGTAAAAATGGATTTTGGATTTTACGGATCATACTCCCAAAGTGTCGGTACTTTATACCGTAATTTGCTCCCATTGAGCAACTACGTTCTACACTTCTACACAATATTGTTCAAACACTTTATAGGTGTAGCAAATGTAAACGATACTTTGGTCTTACGTTCCAGCATTTCAAACAGTACCGTCTAAATGTATTAAATATATTTATGAAAATATTTGAATTAATTATAATCAATTTTTAACAGATAAATATAAGAGATCAAGCCAACGTTCGAGGAATAATAAAGACACCTTCTTGGTTAGCCCACATACTTCCAGCAAGGAACCCAGAAGAGCAGACTCTTGAAATTGTTGTCAAAGGTGGCCAATTGTACTTCCGGTCACTGCGTGATATCACAGAAGGACAGGAGCTCCGAGCTTGGTTTGGTCAAGATCTTGCTGACATTTTGAAGTTACCAATGATTCCTCCCAATGTTGTCGAAGGTAATACAACAAATTTGTTTTATTTCATTAATAAGCCGTAACTCATAAGTTTTGGGACATCCATCTCTTTAGTACCGTCAATGCCTTTCATAGAATGCCTAACTCTTGTATAGAATGCCTGAAATTGACCTGCAAATTGAATATATTGAATATATTTTGAAGGACTTTATACGAATTAAGTACAATTTCACATGTTTTAAGTATGATACACAATGAAAAATTGTCTTTGAAATATATTTCATATAATAGCCCGTGATTTTTGTAGAATCATTAGACATGATAAATAACAATTTGATTTCTGACTTTTACATACAATAACACCTAATACCATATACTAAGAAGAATTAAATTATTGAGTTTAAAGATATGGTTTTAATATATTACTTTCTAAAACATTTTTGAATCCTATTTTAATTTATTTAGTTAATTAGTTATTTTAATGATCAGACTCGTCAGTTTTATACAGACTTACGATTATTTTTCAATCACAATTTTCTAGAAAAGAAAAACAACCAAAAATTGAATCTGATACATGTTGAAGCGTTCCATAACAAAATATATATTTTGTAATTTTACATTTCGACACACCTTATCCAATCTTAATATTTTACTAAAATAATAATAATAATAAATAAATCAGTAATTAATGTTATTATTAATTAACATTATGTAAACAAACAGTATGAAAAAAAAATTTATCGCCACAAGGCGATCGCAGGTTACCCATTGGCAAAATGGTTCTTGCCTAATTTTTCTTGGAAAAGCAACTTTATTGTGTTTTCATCTTGGACATCTTNTCCCCCCCTCCCCCATCGTACAAAACCGTACATAATTGCAAATCCCCTCCCCCCCCTTCGGGATGTACGTACTTTTTGAACGGCTCCTTATACCATACACTTAGCAGAATTATTGAGTTAAAAGATATGGTTTTAATATATTACTTTCCGAAACATTTTTGGATTCTACTTTTATTTTTAGTTAATTAAATATTTTAATGATCAGACTCGTGAGTTTTATACAGACTTACGATTATTTTTCAATCACAATTTTCTTGAAGAAAAATTTTTTTTTATCTGAAACATGTTTAAGCATTCTATAAAAAAATATATATTTTATAATTTTACATGGAGACACACCTCATCCAATACTAATACTTTACTAAAAAAATAATAATAATAATTAAATCAATAATTAATATTATTATTAATTGAATTTATATAAATAAACAGAATGAAAAAAAATTATGATCGCCGCAAGGCGATCACAAGTGACACATTGACAAAATGGTTGTTTCCTAATTTTTTTTTTTTGGAAAAGCAACTTTATTGTGTTTTTATCTTGGACATCTTTAACTGTTAATCCCGAACTACTCGGTACACAATTTCGCAAACATATTTGAATGCAGCTCAGACACATTCTCTGTAAATAGATATTCAACAGCCAATCGAGATCAATATTAGCATTTTGGGATTGGTACAATGGGGTTTGAAGGAGATTGTAAGCTGCATCATACACTCGTTTCGGATTCACAAGTTCATACCTAAAATATGATTTGAAAGCTAGCCTTTTTTTTCAATTTTACATGAATAGTAAATGAATCATTTGTATTGCGTGGAGGTCTTGTGCAAGTCACTGGGTGCGTTGACAACGAATCCTTTTATCCTTAACTGATGATCAACACCCGTTCTCGTATTTGCAAGAAAGGGGCTCGGAGAGCCTCCATTCGCTCTTCGGTAGAGTTCAATTCTCTCAACTACTATGGTACTTTTGAGAGGGACGGGCTTCATGCTTGCTTTTGCAAACGGAATCTTTTCGTTTTTCCGTTTGTGTGTAACGCTTAAGGTATTCCCGTTTTTGGCTTTCTCAGCCACGGTAAGTTTAGGCCTTGGCATCGTTTTTTTCTTGCTTCAATTCTAACTTTTGGGACCGTGTCAATCAGTTTGGTCCCTCTTTATTTGTGGTATTCACCTGAATTAGTGTTAAAAACGATCCAGTTTGAACTGTAGATTAGAATTTCTGATTCTAAGTTAAAACAGTAAAAACAAATATATCGTTCAAATGATGAAATTCTCTTTTATACTCAAGAAGTATTTATGGCATCTCTTTGGTACCATAACTCAAAATTAAACTTACCAACTTAAAGCATTACAAAATTAAAAGTAAAAAAAAATTCTGAAAAAATTATCAAGCAACAGTGGTTGCTATAGCAAAGCATGCTCACTGATTACTAATACTCTTGATTATTGTAGTTGAAAAATGTAAGGACGCCACCAAATCCAAACCAAGATCGATTTTGCCAAATGAGTAATAAAATAAAAAAATGAAGATAAAACGTTATTTGCAAGCAGAGTTCAGATTTTTTATTCAGTGTATGCGTTACATAAAATGCCATAGAAACGCATAAGTTAAAGGGAATTTTTTTTTCTTCGTGGTATCTTAAAATGTAATAAATTTATTGTGATGTAAATTCTTCGTTGGGAAATCTCAACTAATAATAGATATTGCAATTTATAGAACAATTGCAAAAACAACTTTTCAGTAAATTAGATTTTTTAGTTTAAAGTTTATAAAATTCCAGAAACTATAATTTAATAGCTTAAGACATTTTTCTGTGACCATAGTTGTTCTAGTTTATTTTTTTAATTTAAGGATTTCTAAACTGCGTATTTAATTTTAATATGTAAGTAATTTGTAAAACTATAGTCTTCACGAAAAAATATTTTTGAATTAAAAATCAACTCATTTCTTTTAGAAAAAAATATAACTATCTATATGTAAACTCATGTTTAATTTTTTTTCAGGGGAAAAACGATTTGAGTGTATGCTTTGTCAAGAAAGATTTGAGAATCCATTTCCTGTCGTAGCTCATTTAATGTACCGCTGCAGACGGAAAGATCACGGAATGGTGAATGTGCAGACTTCCTTGAAAAAGAAAAATGGCGGAAGGGTCAAAAACTTCAATATAGCTACTCTCACTGACATGAATGAAGGAGATAATGCATCCCAAGAAAAACCTTTGAGTCCTCCATCTCCAAGCTCCACTCCTATAGATGTTGTAAAAACTACACCGGAACAAACCTCAGATTTTCACACTGAAAACAACAAGAAAAGGAGAAGAAGGCTAAATAGTTTAGAAGACTTAACCAGCTCTCCCAAAAAGTTTCGGTTAAGTGAAGAATGTGAAAATGAATACACGAAAACCTCGGAAGCTAAAGTTACTAATGCAGCAAAGTCACAAAATGGCATTTTCAAACCAAACACTACACCAAACCAAACGGCTTACGACTCATTAGTTTATTCCAATTCTGATACGATGCCGAGTGAAACAAACGGAACCAGTGCTTTCAAGAAGGTAGATAAATCAAATTCTGGGATTCATCCCAGCATGTCCTCTTTTCCCGGTTTATTTCCAGGATCCCTGGATCCTCGTGAGTTGCTGTTTCATGCAGGAGCCAACAACTTTGCGCCATTTCCATATCCTCTAAATCCGGTTACTACTAGTACCTCCTATGGAGGAATCTCACCTTCACAAAATGCTATCAGCCCATCTAGTTTGGCCAATTCTTCTTTAGACAATAGCGTAACAAGCGCTTTCTCGCCAAATATGAAACACTCAGCTGGAAATATCCATCAGCAGCTGAAAATGGCTGAAGAATTTAAAATCATGCGAAAGATACCAAATCTAACTGAAAATGGCTATGAACTAAATGGTCTAATACCATCAACTATCAGTGACCCCAGAATGTCAAGTATGCCAACTACAATGCATTATGGTCCTAAATCTCGAGCAGTCGATAACTTTGGCGGAGTCAAATCTTACCCGACGCCACTTTTGCCGTTTTTGCCACCATCTCTTGCCGCGTTATCTTTCCCGACGCAAAACTGGTGTGCTAAGTGCAATGCATCGTTTCGTATGACTAGTGATTTGGTTTATCACATGCGTTCGCACCACAAGAGGGAAACAGATCCTCAGAAACTAAAACGCGAGGAAAAGTTGAGATGTCATATTTGCAATGAAACTTTCAGAGAACGTCATCACTTGACAAGGCATATGACGTCGCACCAATAAAAAATTTTGCTGCATAATAATTTGTTAGCTTAACTGTGACATAAGAAATAAAAAAAAAAACGGTCCTTGTCATATAAATTGGTGGATTTAAAGAACACTTAACCAATGTTGTCGCGTTTATGCTTTGAACCTGACTGAACACTATCTATAGAAAAGAATATGATATTTAAGATTTGTTAAAGAAATGCCGATTAGTATTTCGACCTTATATCAGCCACGGTATTGGCAGAATGACTAAATATTGGCGTATTAGACAGAGATAAATCAAACAATATTATACAGTCATTACTGAAGCTCTTTATAAAACGTATTGGCACTGGACTTAATGCGGAAATTTTGTGATTGTGAAAGAAAAATAAAACGTGCTAAGATGCGTAATAATTTTAAGAAATGTCTGAATGGTGTTAATTTCTCTTTCCAGCTTTGTTCGAATCAAATTAAAATATACATTTACGTGGACTTATTTACTTTTTTGACTCATCATGACTTAGTTTTTCCAAAATCCTGTACACCATTAAATCATTTTCCAAATTTATTTCTATACTTTTTTTTGTAAAAAATATGCCATAATTTTGTGATACATGTGTACATAGTTACGGCAACTTGCAATATTTACTGTATATGCGGCAGTTTCCCAAATTGTTATTAAAATATCAATTTTTGAATGATTTTTCATCTATAATGCTTTATTTATTTAATAACCAATAGATTATGATTAAAATGCTTAAAGCTATGTTCTAGTGGCTGATGATATATATATATATATATATAAAAATATTGTCTAAGTACTTGACTCGAAGTTCCTTTGTTTTTTCAACTAATATAACAGTGCAAGANTTACGTAAATATATATATATATATACATATATATACAAGTTAAAGAAACACATTATTTCTTTGTTACATCACATCTAATATCTTAATTTGTTTTGTTTTTTAATTCTCCAAAATATTATTTACGTTAAAGTTTGCCATTCTTTAAACTTTTAATTGAGATAGTTATTTGTGATATTTTTTAAGGTTTTATGTTTATTTTTATGGTTATAATTCGTTATTTATTAAGTTTGTTAATAGTCCATTGTCAGTTTCAACTTATTCATTGTATTCATTTCCTGAAGACTATGATTTAAGGTTAAGAAAGTTGAAGTTAAAAAAAGATTCCTCCTCCTCTTTTAGCTAATATTTAGTTGATTGCAACATTAATATATTTTAATTGTTTTTCTGTATTAAAAAATATTCTTAAACTGATTATGCAAAGGAAATTAGTTTGATATATGTACGTTATTCATGAATTCTTACATTTTGTTAAAGATTTGCTAAATAACTATTTAAAAATGCCGCTCTGTTGTTATATTTCAGAATAATTTATGTGTGTACATACATAATTCTCTATCTTAAAATGGAGAAAAATTAAGATGTATATAATGTAAAGATGAATGTTATATGTTATACGTTACAAATAAACTTTGATGTCTAAATATTTTTAAGTCGTTATTTTCTTGTTATTAAAAAATTATTTTAAAGCAATATTTCATATTAAATCAGATTATTCAAAGTGGTCTTACACTTTTATATTAAGTTATTATAATCAACAAATACAAAGCACAATTGGAAATTTTCAATTCCGTAAACTTAGAATGTATTTTCGGAAATGTGTTATAAGACAATCTTTAGTTGATTTCGAGGAGGCTGCACACACTTCTTTTTTTTCTTGCCAAACCCCACGATTACTTCTCAGCAACCTCATGAAACAGCAATTAAAAGGAAAAACAAAATTATTTCATCTTTAATCTCAAAATTATTCCGTGAATGTAACAAGCCTCTAAGAGGTGCTCGCTTTCGATTCACTAACTCAATGATCACTAACCTGAGTACGTAACCACAACTATGCAAAGTCAGTGAAATTTAAAATGTAAAGTATGTTATGCAATTATGCATATTTCTAATAATGCGATTGCAGAAATCATAATGAAATTGGATTTGAAAAACATGAACTTTTTTTTAAAAGAAAAGTATTAGAACAGGGAAATCTAAAATATGTACACTGGTGGACAAAATTAAGAGATGGAAAGCACATTCATTCGCACATGCAAGATGCCTACACACCGCTCCATGTGTTTGACAATGGTTCCGTAAATGCCTAGAGGTACAGGCAGGAGGTCTTAGAGCCCTATGTGCGTCTTTTCAGGGCGCTGTTGGCCCTGAGTTCATTCTTATGGACGACAATGCGCGACCACATGGGGCTCTCATGGTTGATGAGTATCTGGAAAGCGAGGATATTCAACGAATCGATTGGCCAGCCAAATCCCCTGACTTAAATCCTATTGAACATGCTTGGGATGCTCTTGGGAGAGCTATTGCGATGCGCCAACCTCCCCCCAGAACCATTCTGGAGTTAAAAAATTGCTCTGGTGGAAGAATGGAGGGTCTTCCACAAGTCCTCCTTAACTCCCTTATTAACAGCATGCATACTCGTTGTGCATGCTGTCTGTCTGTCAGGAGTGACCAAATACCATACTAGAGGCAACACACACTGTACAAGCCTCATTTTTTTGTCATCTTTTATCCTTAAGTTCTGACTACATTGGATTTATTGGCAATAGGTCTTGTCAGTGAATGGCACTTTCATTTCTGTTTTGCATACTTGTTATCATGGAATAAGCTATATCCTATGGAAAGTATAGCATGGAATAAGCTATACTTGTTATCATGGAATAAGCTTTTGTTTTGCATGTTTTGTTATCATGGAATAAGCTATATCCATACCAAATTTCATTTATTTATATTCAGTATTTTTTGAGACATTTTGAAAAATGTCTTCCATCTCTTAATTTTGTCCACCAGTGCAGATCTAATACGGATAAATAAGGAGACATAATATTATTCGAGAAAGAAACATGAGATATAATTACTGTGCGCATAGAAAATGGTTTCTATTTCTCTTTAATTAAGATTTGTATGCTTTTTTTTAAAAAAAAATCATTATGATTATTAAGATCTACTAGTGACAACACGTTCTCTCTTGTTACATTTGACATCAAATCAATAGAGCACTTATGAAGTTTCGAGAAATAAATAAATTTTCTTACTACAATTCATAAATGACTTAAAGCTATGAAACCTTGAAAAAAAGTAAATAAGTTTCAAATAAATCTAAATTTGGAAAAGAAAGCTCGATATTAATTCCAACAATGAATCTAGCTCTTGTAGAACGTCCAATTTCTGTTATAAAGCTGCATTCTCATTTCTTTCTTTCTTCTTTTTTTTGTTGCTGAAAGCAGCATTTGTGGTATTTTTACTACAATTTAATAGTCAATAATTCTCGATTTAAATATCGAAAGTTAAAATTTTTGATTCTATCATACTCAGAGCACGTTGTTATATATACCTTCAAAATTTCCCGTTTCAAACTGTTATGTGTTATAAGTTTCCTGCGTTATAAAGTGTTTCTGCGTTATGAAACAAAATGTAAAGTAAAGTTGAACATCCGAAACAAAAATGGCGTCGCTCACGAATGTTTATAGATATAGGGGGATAATAATTCGAAGCATTTTTCTCATTTTTTTTGTTCAATGCAAATCAACAGCAGTTATTTTACCTCAACGATTATTAAATTGATAATTAATAAAATGGTTGATATTTTGCAACGCTGCCTCTCGGTAACCGCATTAAAATAATAATAGAGCATTTCTTCTATATTTTCTTCTCTCTTAAAGATGAGATCATTTTTCTACTAAATTTTCTAATTGTATTTGAGCATGTATCACATATCACTTTAGGGTGATCCTAATCATAATTAGGTTATAATTCTGCAAAAGTAAAAATTAGTGCTCATTTTTTTTAAAAAAACTTTTCACGGAATATTTCCTGCTTGGAAGTTAAATTATTTTTGCTTAGCTGATGTGAGAAAAAAAGCAGAGTTAATTAATAAAGAAATATATGTCAGTATATAGTTTACTTGCATATTTACCGTTCTTTAAATGTTTTGAGAAGAATCTATTTTAATTTCAATAAATTTAGCTTTCATTTTTTTCAGCATGGATTAATTTTTTTTTTTTAGTTAGAAAATGGTTAAGTCATCAAACGAATTGTTGGATAATTAAAAATGCAGCAATGAACTAAAATAAAATGTGAATTATTTTTATTAATTTTAAGTAACTCCTCTCATTACTTCTCCATTTTTATATAGTGCTGCCATCTATACAGAAACATAGAATATAACTTCAGTTTCTTTAGTTGGCATAAATATTGGTACTCTAAAGATAGATGGCAGCACTAAGACTTTGATCTTAAATTATACATTTAAAACAAAGGAAGAATTTTCTGCCAGCATTAGAAGTTATATAAATTTAGTTATTTTTTCATGTTTGAAATATAGTTTATTTATTTATTTGAATCATTTACTTACCTTTTTTTTAAAGAGAATTTTATGATTTTAAGAAGAAAGGGCAAGGATTTGTTGTGTGAATTGTTTCGTGAATATTGTAAATTTCTCCGAATTAAAACAAAATATTAGAAAAGTAAATTTTGTTAATTATATTAATTAAAAGCATTGTAGATTCAAATCTTAGAGAAAAAATATATAATGTTGTTTTTTAAGAAAGATGTTACTTGGTGATTTATAAGTAAATTTTAGCTTTTATTATCTTTTAACTCATATTGCTTTATATCACTTTTAAGTTATATAAAGATATATACAACAGTAAAATTCTAGAAAAAAATAGAGAATGATAGCATAAATATTGGTAAATTTAAAGTTATAATTTTTCATGTCACCTTTTTGTTTGATTACTCAAAATCGTTAATTTAGGCACTAAATCTTGAAATAATTTTGAACACAAATAAAGCTAATATTCGTTTTTTTTTTCTTTTATTCCAACATATTTGCACTTTCCTTATATTTTCAGCATAGGTCAACTGATTAAAAATATTTGTTATAGGTTTGAGTATCTCACTTCTATCTCATAAGCTTATAAACTTTAGACAATATATAACATATATATATTTTATTTTATTTTGTGACTTAAAATAACAAATAATACATTTAACTGAAAAAAATGCGAGGCTTCTATATACAGCAGTTTTTGATATAATTTTTTTCCTAACTCAATCAAATGTATTTTTGAAAAAAAATGAGCTTTCTCAATATTTTATGGAGAAATGATTTGCTGTAGACAGTGAAGAAACTATTAATTAATCATATTATTTCATTCTTAGCAGTGGTCCAAACTGGTAATGATTAGTAATTTGTAGTTTATGTAATTAAATTTTATAAATTACCAATTATAATTTAAAAAATTAAAATTTTATAAATTATAATTGGTAATTGGTAATTTCATTATAATATATCTAATATACTGTCTTAGAAATATCAAAGTTTGTAAAATTTTAAAATTTGTATTAAGCTTGTACCATTATAAAATTAGTTCGTACACTAAATTTAAAACATTTTTTTGCCGTTCACTTTATAGTAACAAAATTTAATAAAAATTATTCATATTAACTTTTACTGGGCCGTTAACAAATGTGGTCACGCTTGAAGTGGGTGGTCAAAATTCATGAAATTGTGACAGATTATGTGACTGAAAAAAACAAAAATTAACTTGAGGTGGGACATAAAACAATTAGGTTAAAATAAAACATTAATCAGCTCAGTAAATATATATATATTTTCTTAATCTTATTTCAGGCAGTAAAAGATAATTTCAAAAGTTAAATGAAGATGTTTCTAAAACACATAGTTTTAAGGTTGAAAATCTGAAGTTTGAGTCTAAGTTATAATGTTGTAGTATTTAATTTTTGAATTGCTAATATAAATTTCTGCAATTTCAGCGTGATATGAGACAAGAGAGGAGTTGGAGCATCTTATTTTATTTTATTACCGACCCAATATCAATGTTCAATACCGCCCCTCCCGCTCCCATACGATTGCCAATGCTCAACTCCGTAGCCATGTATTTTTGAACCCAATCCAGAAGACAAGGAATCTCCAGATTCAAATATTGGGAGAAATTTGCCTTCTTGAACGACTTTTTGATGGAACTAACCCGCATTTGCGTTACATGGAGAGGAAAACCACGAAAACCTCCAGTGGTTAGCCTGACGGCAAGAGAACTCTAACCCATGATCCGTCTACCACTGAGGATATTTTACGTTAGCACTGTAGTCGGTGCAAGCCNTCCCTTTACCGTCAGGTTAACCGTGGTTGGTTTTCGAGGTTTTCCTCTCCATGTAATGCAAAGGAGACTTAGTTACATCAAAAAGTCCCCCACTAAAGCAAATTATGCTCTTAGTTGATCCATGAGTTTCCTCGTCTTCTAGATTGAGCTCAAAATCACAAAGCTGCCGAGTTGAACATTGATAGTCGTGAACTCACAATTGAGTAGACTGTGTTCAACGTTTATGAAATAAAATATTAAGTAAAAGTTTGATATCATTTATAAACAGTCTCTAAACTTTTATAAAAACAATCACATCCAAATAAAAAAAGATTTTATTCCATTGAACAAATAAAATCAAGTTAACAATAAATTCACAGGTACACATTACACAGTTTAAGACAAATACAAATTTCATCCACTATTTTTTCATACACTTCAATAAAACCTTTAAGCAAGATATGTCACTTTTCATTGACATTAATATGAAATTGCTTATTGCTGTAGACTGTCTCACTGACAATACTCTATATTCTGAGCTTTAATAATAGAAGCCATTGTGTTTTATTAAATGAAGCCAATTTGAGTTTAATATAAATTATAAGCAAAGTAAATAAATTGATTTTATTTACACAATTTTAACCACAGATCAGTTTCTCGATACTATATAATCTTTAGCAAAATTTCAATTATTCAAATGACTTGCAATAATTTTTATTGCAAGTCATATGCCAATTTCGATCAATAAAAGTGTTTATAACTAAACTGTATTGCACTCATTATCCAATGAATTGCGAGATGGTCTACGTATTGAGGAAGATTCTGGTAGAATTATCATAATGTGGGCACGTTCACTTGGTATGAAAGGGGTGTCCTGGTATTTCTTGGGTGTAAACAAAAAGCTATTCACTGGAAAATGTACATAATACTTTGACATTCGACAGGACTCATCATTGTAATTTTAAATTTCAAAATAAATAAATAAATAAAAATATGTAAAAGGAAAGTTATGTTTTCATTTATCTGATTAAAGAGTAATTTAGAGGAAAATTAGTCAAAAAATAAACATGCAATTCGATTATGCATAATAATCGAATTCAGCTTGAACTCTGAATTAGGGCTATATAACAAACGGTGTCATTTTAAATTCAAACTTATTAGGTGTAAAGTAAAACAAAATATTTTTGAGCCTCGAATGATATTATTTTTAAATAAAACTTATGCTAATAAATTTAAAAAAAAATTTTTTTTTAAAGAATAATGTAAACTTTGCTCCACCTATCTTAAAATAAAATGAATAAATAAATGAATAAATGCTTCGTGGAATGAAAAAAAAAATAATCGAAAAATTTTAATTTTCATTAAGAGAGCTGAAAAACTTTCAGTTTATAAACCGAAACTTTTCTTGTTTTGTTCTGAAATGTTTTATTTGCCAAATAAAATTCGCTTGCAATGATTTATTTTTCAGTCAAAAATAAAATAAGGGAAATAAATAAATAAAATAGAGCGAAGTAAATCAGTGTTGCTCAGAGTTTCAACAAAATAGGGTGGGTATGACACACTTTTAATATCTTTTTTTTACAAGTTCAAATTACTACAAGATTTGTATTTTTAATAGCGTCAAAGAAAATTCCTGAAACTAGCTGTGAAAAACACACTGTGAAGATGAATGAAAAAAAAAAAAAATTATGCTTATTGTTCTTAGCTTAAAAAAAAATTTCTCGAAATGAGTAACTACTCTTTTTGAAATGAGTAGCAACTCTTTCAAATGCTATTTATAAAAAAAATACATGCTACTTTTTTTCTGTCACAAACATACTTCCTTGTTTGAAACCATGTAAAAGTAATTACAGAATAATCTTTAACAATTATAACTGTTTTAAGCAAGTTTTGGTATTATTGTCTCTGAGCTAAATTTTAAAAATTCATATTAAATATAGAAAGACTGTTATTAAAATTTTAAATCAAAACGATTATTTTTATATAAATTTTTTAAATGATTACCATTATTGGAGATAAAGCATTATACTTTAACCATTAAATTATTAATTTTCTCTTTATTTGATTATAAATTCTGATGATTCTTAAATAATCATCATCTTAAATAAAATAATTCATAATTATATAATCTTCAGAATAAATAAAATAATTCATAATTAATTATCAATATTTCTGACATTTACAAATGCCTTGTACAAATTTTGGTGCTGCCATCTATTTGTTAAATTTAAAAAAGTCATAACTTGCATAGAGAGTTTTCTATAATTTTTTTTTTTAAAATTCAAACAATAGTGTTAAGGCTATTAATTATTTTTGTAATAGTGAGTTTTAAAGAAAGCAGCATTAAATTATAACCTGTAAAAATTATCATTGTTTATAAGAACCACAAACTGATAAAAAGTAATGTATAATGACCTTTTTTTCCTTCAATAAATTATGAATTATTGATAAATAAAAATATCAAGTAAAAAGGAATAATTTTTTTCCGACCATAAGGAAAAATATTGAAACACAAGAAATTTAGAATGATGATCAATGCAGTACATGCTAAGCTAAATTTATTAGCAACTTTTCCCTCTGCAATAAAACAAAATATGTTAAGTTTTGACTAGATTTTGTTGACTAGTTAATACATTCACAAATTGTATATTCTTTATTACTGATATGTAATGCATTGCAAAAATTCCAAATGAAAAACGAAGGACAAAAATTTTAAATTTACTAATTTCAATTAATTAGCCTTTACATCTACACTGCTTTACAAATATTCTGGTGATGCTATCTTTTTTCGCAGAACTGCACTGATTCGTAGTAGATTTAGAAGACTTATTTAAATCGAAGCATTTGACAGTATATAATTCAATGTAACTGCACTTACAATTTTTAGCAATACATCAGTTTTTGAGCAAAAAATAAACAAAGGACAATTCTGAAAGAGGATATATATATAATACTTATTCGAAATAAAATTTAGTGTCCTTTCAGTCTCAAAAATACATTCCCCACGTTTATAAAACCCTTCCAAAAATATTTACCACTTTTAATCCTTTCAAAAATAAATCCCAGATCCAGCTCTAGTAAAAATATTTACCTCTGTTCCATGTTTTTAAAAAACCTCTATCATTTTTATCGTAGAGAAATTCTAGTGCTGCCATCTCTCTTTAAAATTTCTAAGCATTTACAGCAGATATGGAAAAATAATTGTGAAAACGAAACCGAAACATTTATGTGAATGGCATTGATAATTTCTGAACTTACGATTTTCAAATCTATAACAGCAACCTACATTCTGTTAAAATTCAAATCTTATATACAAGATCACAGAAGGTTTGATATTTGTCTCCTGGTGACAGACTATAATTATTGTATTTACAATTATCACACACAACGGCCACAACAATAATCAATAAAGAACACGCAAATACATATAAAAATTACTTAATTTCTCTCATTTTATTACGTGTCATTTGATCAGTTCTTATGACAAAAGCAGCTTTTGATTCCACTTAATTAAATAGATAGTTATTTGACTAGACTTGAAAAATTGCATGGTGGACTAAGAACATGGTATGATATAAGAGAAAATACGTCATAGAGCCATTATTTTCGATTTGAAAAGTTACATGGTTTTCCACGAATGATCATATGGCGTAGTTGAGAATACACCATATGAACAGTGCAATTGATTAGAAAAGAATCATGTTTACCCATGAACGGACATATTGTATAGTTAAGAATACGTTTTATGGCTATTGTATTTGATTAAAAAAAGTTACATGGTTACCCAAGAGTGATAATATGATGAACTTGAGAATACGTCATATGAACATTGCAATAGATTAGAAAAGTAACTTGGTTACATGGTTACCCATGAATGGACATATATAGTTGATAATTCGCCATATGGCTATTGTATTTGATTAAGAAAGCTACATAGTTGGCCATGAATAGACATCGTTTTCCATGAATGATCATATGATGTAGTTTAGAGTCGCTATATAAGTCATTGCATTTGATTAGAGAAGTTACATGGTAACTCAAGAGTGATAATATGATGCAGTTGAGAATACATAGCCCGTATACATAGCCCAAGAGTGAGAGTCATATAATCAATACAATAGATTAGAAAAGTTACATGGTTACCCATGAATGGGCATATATAATTGATTATATACTATATGGCTATTGTGTTTGATTAGAAAAATTACATAGTTGCCCATGAATATATATTGCCTATGAATAGTCATATGGAGAAGTTGAGAATACGCTATGTAAGCCATTGCATTTTACTCTACAAGTTTCATGGTTACCCTGTTGTGATAATCTGATGTAAGGAATATATTATATGAGCATTGCAATTGAATAAAAAAGTAACTTGGTTGCCCATGACTGGTCATATAGTATAGTTGAGAACACACTATATGGATAATGCATTTGATTAGAAAAGTTGCATGGTTGCCCTACATTGGTATTATGATGAAGTTGAGAATGCACCATATGGTCATTGCACTTGATTAGGAAAGTTGCATGCTTGCTCAAGCACGGTCATATGGTGTAATTGTGACGCTTAAAGCCATTGAACTTGATGAGAAAAGTTACATGGTGTTCAGGCAATGGTTGTATGATGCAGTTAATTATGTCCCATTTCTTGTTTTTATGATTAAATAGACTAATTTTGAGGTATTTAACTAGATTAGTCTCGTACTGCTTGCTCAAATAGGCTGACTAGACCAATAGTTTCATTACACTCTCCTCCAGAAATATCATCTTCGTCATCTTCCAACAAAACTGTCGTATATTTCACTGAAGTCGATGGTACTGTAAAAAAATTTACAAAAATGTTAAGATGTAGGATTATTTATTTACTAAAAAAAAACACGCAATAGAAGAAGTAGATTTTTTTTTTTAAAAAAAGAAAAAGATTGTAATTGCGAATTAATAATTATGCATTTAAATCTCAAGAAATATATATATATATATATATATATAATATACTGTCTTAGAAAAATCAAAATTCGTAAAATTTTAAAATTTGTATTCAGCTTGTACCATTATAAAATTAGCTCGTACACTAAATTTAAAACATTTTTTTGCCGTTCACTTCATAGTAACAAAATTTAATAAAAATGCATATTAACTTCTACTGGGCCATTAACAAATGGGGTCAACCTTGAAGTGGGTGGTTATTAACTTGATGGTGGTTATTAACAAAAATTAACTTGATGTTGGACATAACACAGTTAGGACAAAATAAAACATTAATCAGTTCAGCAAATAGCTATATATTTTCTTAATTTTATTTCATGCAATAAAAGATAATACAAAAAGTTAAATGAAGATGTTTCAAAAACACATAGTTTTAAGGTTGAAAATCTGAAGTTTGAGTCTGAGTAATTATATAGTAGTATTTAATTTTTGAACTGCTAGTATAAAAGATAATACAAAAAGTTAAATGAAGATTTTTCTAAAATACATAGTTTTAAGGTTGAAAATNGTGTGTGTGTGTGTGTGTGTGTGTGTGTGTGTGTGTGTGTGTTTGTGTAGCGGCCGTCTAATAGTGGGTTAGTAATTTTGTTACTTAAAAATGTTATGTTTTCACCTGGATATTTCTGCCGAAACTGCGTCAAAACCATTGTATTTTCAACTAACGATCTCTATGTCCAGTTCTAGAATCTAACGCTTTATACTGATTATTTCTTTTAGTCTTTTCGACCAGTTAACATGTTTTTCAATAATTTTTATTCTCCTCATAACAAGTGGCCTATTTTATTTTATTTCTTGTCGCATTGTACAATACTTTTATTCTTACTTTTTGCTTCGTATTAGCTATGTCTTAGAAAAATATTATTTGCAGCTATGAATGAAATGTTACAAAGGAGACATCATTTACTATTATTACAAAAAATTTTACCGTAGTAACATTTATAAAAGCATATATAAATTGTTCTGCGAGAATAAAAGTTTCTAAATCAAAAATTGGATATGTATTTCTAAATCATAAATGGAGAGCTTACCATTTGAGGGTATAATAATTTCCTCCGGAGTTAACAGCTTCGCTTTGGATTTGGGTACGAAGTCCATATATTCCTAAAAGATAAGAAAAATTTAATAAATAGCAAAATCAAAAATATTACGGTTACGTATATGAATTTTATACTTCATATTTTTTCAATTTTAAAATTATTAAAAAACTGATTTTTTGTTGAGCCATTTGACTTAATTCAGCAGTTTTCTCTCCTTGATATTACTGACAATTTGTGTTAAAATGAATCAAGATCTGTTTTTTATAAAATTAAAAATTTAATAATTCAAGGTCGATAAAAAATTGTTGCCATGCTTAAACATTTTCAATATTTTTTTTCATTTTCCCGAATGACCCTTAATGCTTTATTAATGAATTTATTTTTTTTTTTTGGCTGCAAAAGCAAAAACATACATCTTAATTTTTCTAAAGCATAATTAAAGCGAAATTAGTCTCCAAGATCAATAATATAAGTATTTAAGAAAATAAAAATACATTTATGAAATGTATAACATTTAGGTTTACTGGAAACGTCAGTTCCCCCCCCCCTTATTTTGTGCAATAATTGGAAGCAAAGAAAATCAACGCTAATCAGACATGTATATTAAAAAATTCGATATTCAACCACATATTTTTAAGGGCACGGCACTCATGATCCTCCTGGACAGGTCGAAATCGAAAAATCGAATGATTAGAAAAGGAGGAGAACAGGTGTCCGTTCTTAATAAAGCCATTTTCTAATTACAGTCAAAATACCCACCACATTTTATTACACTTAAAATAGACGATATTGCTTACCATTTAACACTACCTGGAGTACAGGAGCATCATTAGTAGTTCAGTCAATAATATTGTGGTCTCAAATTCAATGATGGTAGTGTTCAATTGTGCTATAGATTGAAACTGTATCATTTTGGTACATAGCCTTACTGGGGACACCCCCTATATTTTCTTAAGGATTAATATTAAGGGAAAAGGAGTGCTGTTTATGACAAGCACCCTGTTATTCGAAAATTACCACTATGAAAATATTACGACGTAAATTGAGGTATTATCCTGTTAGAAATTTGGCTTGTGCCGGCATTTTTATTTACAAATATTCTTCCACTATTTTTTTTTTCTTAATCGGTAGCACAGTATGGGCGGTATCGGTAGCACGATATGGGCGGTATCGGTAGCACGGGCATGGGCGGGCACGGTATCGGTAGCACGGTATTTTTTTTTTTCTTAATTGGTAGCACGCGTGCGGCACCCAGTCTGGTATCTTTTAAACTTTCGATTCGTTGATTAAAATTTTCTTACCCTTTTTTAATTAATGATTTGGACACATGTCAGCTATTTTTATTTAGCTTCCAAATTTAATTGACTTTCTAATTCGTAGCTCTTCCAGGTTTCTTCTTTTATTTGATGTCATAATCACAAATCTAAAAATTTTTTAGGCCCAAGTCTCGCACCTGTGCTTTGCTCTAACAGGGCGCTAAATCACAGGCCCACCATCGACGGATAGTGTTGCCATCCATCGTTACCAAGCACTCATTTCAAGCGTCTCTTCCCTTGCTGATGCAGCTACGTACGCGCATTTCGAGTTACCGGTATTCCCCGGATGCCTTCGATCGGAGGCGGGTCGGGGTTAAGCTAAGCTTAATCGGTAGCACGAGAGAGAGGCTAGGTTAAGTTGACCATTATAGCCGTAGCCTTCACACACAATTATTGAGTATCCACTTTGCTGTATAATGGAGAAGAAATTCTCCTTTTTTTATGCCAAATCAATTAAATCCTCGACATTCTTTTTTATGTACTTCTCCATGCTTGGTAATAGCTTTCAACTTAAGATACTGCTCCATTCTTTTATATCGCAAAATTTTAATAAGGGGGAGCCTTTTTAATGCTGTGGCAAAGCTTCATGTTATGGTCATAAACCTAACATTTCCTCCCCCTCCCCAACTGTATGAAATATTACAATTATCACAAAAATGCTAGAAACCCATTTATTGTCATTTGTAAAGGGAATCGGTGACTGAAGCTAGATTTTCAGGTAGGATAATGTCTCAACTTGCGTTGAAAATGATATAGATGCTACTGTCCTCCAGGTAATGATAACAGATAAGCAATATCGCGTATTTCAAGTCATATATCGAAATTTTCACTCGTTTTTAACCACTATTTTCTTTCACACCTTACCCCCACTATTTCATCACTATTCCATAGTTTGATAGCTATGGTTTTGATGTGGATAGAGGGAAAGATTTTTTTAATAGTTAAATATGCTATGAGGGTCTAAAATCAGTAAGATTGTATGAGATTTGAACCCTCAAATTGGTGACCAATCAATTAACTTTGCTTACATTTTCTGTTTCTAAATTCGTCGCAATTTTTCATATATTTTCTACTTATTTTGGATTTTGCTTCCCTCCCCCCCTCCCCCAAACAACTCAAAATAACATAATTGTATCGATACAATTACGTTTAAGAAGCAGATTCACAATGCGACGGTTATTATATATCATATTTTATAATATATACCATATTAATTATTATATGTTATTCATTCTTGTATAATCTAATTATGATATTTTTTGAAAAATATATTCGTTAAATCAATACCGCATCAATATTTTAAATACCATGGCTATAAATATGGCACATTGTTCAATACACAAGAATGTAAGAAAATCATCGATTTTTTTAAAAAACTAATTTGCTATTTTGGTAAAAAAAGAAGAAAATTTATTTTAAATAGAAAATATATAACTGACTAAGGAGTAAATAAACTGCTTTTAAATAAGTCAATTTAATTACAAGTTTTTCATTTTACTTACAACAGTGTCTTGGAGTACGAAATCTAATTTTAAAACCAATTCCTTGAAAGACGGCCGCTCACGTGGTATTGCTCTCCAACACTGCCTCATAAGGAGATATCTGAAATAATGAAAGTCTATATCAGTGATTGAATTTCAACGGGGTTGATGATAATTTTATTACACCACATCATCTTTACCAAGTGACAGAAAAATGTGCAGAAAGCAATACTTTTAAAAGTAGCAAAAAGGCATTATCATGGATGATTCTTATACACCCTTTCTGAAAAGTTAGAGAAACACTCCAATATCTAAAGTATTACGTACACTAAAAATCTATATATATATATGTATATATTTTCGGACATAGTTTGCTTATTGTGATCTTTAATTCGAGAAAGAAAGTTTCCACGATTGGCGTTATTAGGTTTTTCAATTTTTGGAAGATTTAATTTTTAGATTTAAGTAACTGTCTCTGCGTCTACAATCCCTTCGGACGGACCTGGTGTCCATTTTTTGGGCATCGACTTTAATCCATTTTAACTTTAGTATCAGAGCCGCAGGATTTTTGTTTCAGTTGATGATAAAGACACTACTGATTTCTAAAGGAGACGTATTGAAGCTGTTGTGCATATTCAAACTGAAGGAAATATATCTTGAAGCTATAAGGCATATGCCGATTGAAGGAAATATCTTGAAGCTATAAGGCATATGCCGATTGAAGGAAATATCTTGAAGGTGTTAAACTATTCCAACTAAAAGAGTTTAAAAAAATGAAAATTTCAAGGAGCCAGGACCAATTTTCGCAATACTATGGATCTATCGTTCTATGGAATTTAAATTAGCATAACAGCTTTTTGCCTTTAGGTCAGGGCTCAAAAAAACTCAAAAATTTTGCCCGTCCCCGAGGACGGCATGTCCAACAATGTACCCGTCCTCATTTGAAACTAACCCGTAGCTTCTAAATAAATAAAAACATAATTTTCTCCTATTTATTACAAATAATTATATAAATTGCACAATGAATTAGTAGTTACTAGGATTACAAATACAAGGATTACATTATACAGTAATAAGAGAAATACTAGGTTACTAATAGTAACCTAGTATTTATTTTATGAAATAATTGAAATGACAAAAGTCAAGTTATCTGGAAAGTCAATTTATCCGAGGGTACTGCGCTTTTTTAAATGAATCAAATATGACGTTTGGCAGTTCCACAATCAAGCCAATGATTTACAGAGGTTTCTGCACAGAAATCTGAAAGCGGTTTTGCATTTAGGTAGATGTTCATAATTGCGTTTAACGCTTTTTGTTTAAGACCAGTACGTAATGTTGTTTTTTTGTAAGTTCATTGCTGAAAAGCCCCTTTCAACAGCTACAGTACTCTCAGACAGAGAAAACATCAATTCCACCATACGCAGTATGTTGCTGTATTTCTAGATTAGAGGATCATTTTAGAAGTGAGGCGCTAGACTCTTGTAAGACAACAAAAATTGATAATGCATCACGAACATTAACGGGAAAATGGCCGTCCGCGCGCTCGTCGGATTCGAGAAATTCGTTGTCCGCGGGGAATTTTTGACCGCCGAGGACGGGTGGTTTTTCGAGCCCTGCTTCAGGTTACAATTTTCAAAAATATTGCAGATGAAATGGGATAAAAATCCTTACACTTCGTCTGGACAGTAATCTGGTTTCGTCATTCGGTATCCAGCTTTTAAAAGATTATATAGTCTTTGTGGTGTTATTCCAGGATAAGGACTCGCTCCTAGAAAGGAAAAAAATGCTTTTTCAATATTTTGTAAATTATACATCAGATTAAAAAGACTTTATCTTATCTTATTAAGTTATATTTCCTTTTTAAAATATGTTTAAGTCTTTAATTAATTTTTACTTTTGTTTTTGAATTAAATGAACAGCACTAGAGAATTTTTTTTCTCCAGTTTTTTGTTGTATGAGATTCTCTTAACGCATCTTGGATATTTTCACATCGCTGATTTAAAATCTACAATAGGTATCTCTCTCCAAACTACAGATTTTTTTTTTATTTTTAAAATCACATTTTTAGTCTATTATTTGTTGAGATGAACAAGCTTAAAAACGTTATGCATAACAGGGGGCCGTGTAAATGTTGCGATAAACTTTCAGGAGACTTATCACACGTTATCAGGATTATAATTGCATAAAAACCAATGCCGGGAAATGCCCTCATACGCCGGTAGAGGCACTTGCCTATTAGGAACTGTTTCTTCTTGGGGTTAGGGTGCTTCCCGTATTCGGAACTGTTTCTTCTGAATTAATAGGGAACTGCTTCATTAATAGGGAAGTGCCCCTAGCTGCGCACGACAACATTTTTGAGAATGGTTTCTTAAGCAGTTTTAATGCTAATCATGCTTCCTAACTCGCCTAGAAATTTGGCTCTACATTTACGCGATCCCTTGCACATTTCGACAAAAAATAGACCAAAAGTGTCATTTAAAAAATCTGTTAAAATCCCTGCCCCCGAATCAAGTAAATCAAGTAATTGTATAATTGCAACAAAATTTGTTCCCCAGTGTATTTTGAACTTAAATTATATGGTGTATAGGTTTTGAAAATTGCTTTTTTTTCTTTTATCGCTTAATAAGAAAGTTCGGTGGTGAAAAATATTGAGAAAAATTTCAACTCTTTACTATCGACACTTTATTGTGTCAGACAGTGTTCTGTGTAAGGATATTAGAGCAACATTGAAAAAATCTAACATGTCATTTATCATTTGAAGAAATCATTTGATTATTTATATCACGCTAGAGATAAATACACCTAGGCAATGGTTTGAAAATAATCCATATGATCCAAAGACAATATTGTCCAGTCTTTGCACTGAACTATACACAAATTAGATGGACAAGCCGATGGTGTCAGTAATGACCCTGTTGTCGCAGCACATTTCTTAAAAATCGGACAGTGGATGGGCTTTTCTAACTCTGAAACGCGTGAACATTAAAACTGATTCCGTATCAGTAAAAGTCAACCAGAGAATAGATCAGAGTACAGATCAAAGACTCAGCCTTTAGCAATGGAATTAGACCTCAACCCAAGCCGAAGGAAAGAAGACTTTACTCACCGTATGCGCTGCTATCATTCGTAGAAAATATACTTCATCCTAATTTTGTGTATAACTAATTTTGGTCGTTGACTGTTGTACCTCAAACTTAAAGTTCACAATTTTTTTTAAATGTATGAACATGAACCGTTCCAACCATTTCCAACATGAACGGATTCCAATTTAATTACAGACTAATTATTCGATTAGATGATTCATTGATTTGCCGACTTACTGATTAGCCCTCTTTCTTTCCTCTCTATCTTTTCTTTCTTTATTTATTTGCTGAAAAAAATCCTCTATGATAACAATAGTTTCTACAGTTACGAGAAGAAGCTGGGATGGCCTGGTTAGTAGGGCTTTGGGCCAATGTCTAAGAGGTCGTGAGTTCGATCCCTTCCCCGTATAGTAAATGGTGAATAGTACACGTTAAATCTATCGGGTCACGAAGTCCTCAAAATTTCCACCACAAGTAAATACCTCTGGAGGTACCGAATTGGAGATTTATCGTTCTCTGGTTCAGGTCAAAATTACAATCTGTGGATGAATAAAAAGGGCTTCGCTTCTTCTTTTTTTGTTAGATAAAAACTGATTTAGGAACCTATAAAAACAGCTATAAAACTGTTTTACGGTTTAACCAATTCTTGCAATATATAAGGGTTTTAATGAGGTGAAACACACAAATAAAATATAGTGAAAAATTTTCAGAACTCTTATTTTTTTAAGCTTGGATGTTGTATTTTTTGCGATTAGATATGAATTAAAATTAAATATGAATTCACACTCACTAAAAATGCATGAATATTAAAAAAAAAACTTGAAACAACCTATTCAGAAAAATTCAACTGAATTTTTAAAAGAGAATGAGCTCCCCTTCATCAGGTAGTTGAAACTGGCAATGAGAAACAAATAGATGGAAGAATGCAGGGCGGAACAATTAACCAACACGATGAAAACAAAGGACGAGGAGCAAATTGAAATCAAAGAAACATCAAAATTGGGGGAGACGTGATTAAGAAATGAGAGCAAAAATAAATTGAGAAAAAGAAGCACAAATTAGAAACATAATATTTTAAACAAATGATTCCAATCAGTAGTTAATATTAAGAACCAATTTAATTTATAACGCAATGTCCTTTTTTATAAAAAATGACTTTTCTGTCTGTAAATTTGAAACCATTACAAAAGAACCAAATATGCTTTGCAACAGAAGAAAATGTGAAAATTTCTTAATTTGATCTCTCGTCTGAGATTTTCTGGCCGATGAAGAGTTTTCTCATTTTCCTCAAATCGTGCATTTGTATTCGTATTTTTATGTATTTGTCTAAATAATTTTCAAGGAACACTCATATATTATAAAATTTATTGAGAAATAAAAATTTTTCAACCTACCATTCATCATGATTTCCCACAGAACAACTCCAAATGACCACCTGAAATCAAAAAGATAATCTGTTGTAAAAATTAGTTTGGAAATTTAGTTTTGAGAAAAATATTGATTATTTATTTTTTTCTTTATATCGTTATTAAGCATTATATAATACATTTACTCACTGTACATGACTTTAAATCAAACGATTGTTTTTGATTGGCTTGTATGGTCGTGATGAGCCGATTATTAAGTAGGGTAATGGTGTAAAGTAGAAAAAAAAACATTAATTTTAATGAAGAGCACTTTATTTAAAAAAAGTAACTGAAAGAAAATGATAAAAAAATTTATCACTAGTAGTTTATTTGATATGCCATCACTCCTTCTGTGCATTTTAAGTCTGAAGCTGTCCCAAAATCTTTTAATTTTAATCAAATTCCCATTAGTAGAAAATAACTTAACTATCAATTATGTTTAGAGTACAGAAGAAAGAAAAAGAAGCAGAACTCCTTAATAATTTTTGTTCTTGTGATTATATTTAGCATCAAAACTTAAGCTGGAAAATCAAGATATTTCAAACACTCAAAGCAGATGCTCAGCAACACGCAAGTGATGAAAGCTAAGCAGTTTTGAAAAAAACAAAAACGAACTGAAACATTATGCTTCTAATGAAGAAAAGAAAAGCAAATTTAAATGGAAGGTAAGTAAAATAGAAAAACACAAAACAAGTAAGCCAATTATAAAGGAAACATGGTGAAAAACTGGTGTCATTAACAAGGGAATCGTTATTCATATAAATGTAACAAGATTTCAGAGTATCAAGATGAGTTAGGAGGGAGAAATTCGTCATCACACAAGTGGAGGTAAGTTCGGCGTCATCGAAGTTAAATTTATAGCCAAAATACCAATATTTTAACATTGTGTGGCAATAGATGATCTACTGCATTCTTGAATACTGATGTATTCGTNTAAAAAACTGATTTTTTGTTGAGCCATTTGACTTAATTCAGCAGTTTTCTCTCCTTGATATTACTGACAATTTGTGTTAAAATGAATCAAGATCTGTTTTTTATAAAATTAAAAATTTAATAATTCAAGGTCGATAAAAAATTGTTGCCATGCTTAAACATTTTCAATATTTTTTTTCATTTTCCCGAATGACCCTTAATGCTTTATTAATGAATTTATTTTTTTTTTTTGGCTGCAAAAGCAAAAACATACATCTTAATTTTTCTAAAGCATAATTAAAGCGAAATTAGTCTCCAAGATCAATAATATAAGTATTTAAGAAAATAAAAATACATTTATGAAATGTATAACATTTAGGTTTACTGGAAACGTCAGTTCCCCCCCCCCTTATTTTGTGCAATAATTGGAAGCAAAGAAAATCAACGCTAATCAGACATGTATATTAAAAAATTCGATATTCAACCACATATTTTTAAGGGCACGGCACTCATGATCCTCCTGGACAGGTCGAAATCGAAAAATCGAATGATTAGAAAAGGAGGAGAACAGGTGTCCGTTCTTAATAAAGCCATTTTCTAATTACAGTCAAAATACCCACCACATTTTATTACACTTAAAATAGACGATATTGCTTACCATTTAACACTACCTGGAGTACAGGAGCATCATTAGTAGTTCAGTCAATAATATTGTGGTCTCAAATTCAATGATGGTAGTGTTCAATTGTGCTATAGATTGAAACTGTATCATTTTGGTACATAGCCTTACTGGGGACACCCCCTATATTTTCTTAAGGATTAATATTAAGGGAAAAGGAGTGCTGTTTATGACAAGCACCCTGTTATTCGAAAATTACCACTATGAAAATATTACGACGTAAATTGAGGTATTATCCTGTTAGAAATTTGGCTTGTGCCGGCATTTTTATTTACAAATATTCTTCCACTATTTTTTTTTTCTTAATCGGTAGCACAGTATGGGCGGTATCGGTAGCACGATATGGGCGGTATCGGTAGCACGGGCATGGGCGGGCACGGTATCGGTAGCACGGTATTTTTTTTTTTCTTAATTGGTAGCACGCGTGCGGCACCCAGTCTGGTATCTTTTAAACTTTCGATTCGTTGATTAAAATTTTCTTACCCTTTTTTAATTAATGATTTGGACACATGTCAGCTATTTTTATTTAGCTTCCAAATTTAATTGACTTTCTAATTCGTAGCTCTTCCAGGTTTCTTCTTTTATTTGATGTCATAATCACAAATCTAAAAATTTTTTAGGCCCAAGTCTCGCACCTGTGCTTTGCTCTAACAGGGCGCTAAATCACAGGCCCACCATCGACGGATAGTGTTGCCATCCATCGTTACCAAGCACTCATTTCAAGCGTCTCTTCCCTTGCTGATGCAGCTACGTACGCGCATTTCGAGTTACCGGTATTCCCCGGATGCCTTCGATCGGAGGCGGGTCGGGGTTAAGCTAAGCTTAATCGGTAGCACGAGAGAGAGGCTAGGTTAAGTTGACCATTATAGCCGTAGCCTTCACACACAATTATTGAGTATCCACTTTGCTGTATAATGGAGAAGAAATTCTCCTTTTTTTATGCCAAATCAATTAAATCCTCGACATTCTTTTTTATGTACTTCTCCATGCTTGGTAATAGCTTTCAACTTAAGATACTGCTCCATTCTTTTATATCGCAAAATTTTAATAAGGGGGAGCCTTTTTAATGCTGTGGCAAAGCTTCATGTTATGGTCATAAACCTAACATTTCCTCCCCCTCCCCAACTGTATGAAATATTACAATTATCACAAAAATGCTAGAAACCCATTTATTGTCATTTGTAAAGGGAATCGGTGACTGAAGCTAGATTTTCAGGTAGGATAATGTCTCAACTTGCGTTGAAAATGATATAGATGCTACTGTCCTCCAGGTAATGATAACAGATAAGCAATATCGCGTATTTCAAGTCATATATCGAAATTTTCACTCGTTTTTAACCACTATTTTCTTTCACACCTTACCCCCACTATTTCATCACTATTCCATAGTTTGATAGCTATGGTTTTGATGTGGATAGAGGGAAAGATTTTTTTAATAGTTAAATATGCTATGAGGGTCTAAAATCAGTAAGATTGTATGAGATTTGAACCCTCAAATTGGTGACCAATCAATTAACTTTGCTTACATTTTCTGTTTCTAAATTCGTCGCAATTTTTCATATATTTTCTACTTATTTTGGATTTTGCTTCCCTCCCCCCCTCCCCCAAACAACTCAAAATAACATAATTGTATCGATACAATTACGTTTAAGAAGCAGATTCACAATGCGACGGTTATTATATATCATATTTTATAATATATACCATATTAATTATTATATGTTATTCATTCTTGTATAATCTAATTATGATATTTTTTGAAAAATATATTCGTTAAATCAATACCGCATCAATATTTTAAATACCATGGCTATAAATATGGCACATTGTTCAATACACAAGAATGTAAGAAAATCATCGATTTTTTTAAAAAACTAATTTGCTATTTTGGTAAAAAAAGAAGAAAATTTATTTTAAATAGAAAATATATAACTGACTAAGGAGTAAATAAACTGCTTTTAAATAAGTCAATTTAATTACAAGTTTTTCATTTTACTTACAACAGTGTCTTGGAGTACGAAATCTAATTTTAAAACCAATTCCTTGAAAGACGGCCGCTCACGTGGTATTGCTCTCCAACACTGCCTCATAAGGAGATATCTGAAATAATGAAAGTCTATATCAGTGATTGAATTTCAACGGGGTTGATGATAATTTTATTACACCACATCATCTTTACCAAGTGACAGAAAATTGTGCAGAAAGCAATACTTTTAAAAGTAGCAAAATGGCATTATCATGGATGATTCTTATACATCCTTTCTGAAAAGTTAGAGAAACACTCCAATATCTGAAGTATTATGTATACTAAAAATGTATATATACAGGGTGTCTCAGTTAAGCGCTTCAGAACTCCTAAGAGGGGTAGGGTGCATCCTGACGACTCGAAATCATACAGCAATGCGGGGTCGGAAATGCTTTCCCGAAGCGGTAACGTGCACAGAAGCACCGTAAAGAAAAGAGACGGTCTGTGAAAAATCGTTTTAATAATGCATTGAAATAACTATAATGTACATGGGTCGAAGTAAGTGTTCGAAGTTTCTGCCACCGGCTACAATACACTCTGCAATACTCCAGGCATATCTCGAATTTCTCCGGCAGCAACTGCGATTCTTACAACCAGCTCCTCAGCATTGTCAACAGGGGTGCCATAAGCCAGTGTTTTCATATGACCCCAGATATAAAAAGCAAGACATGATAGGTCTGGTGACCGAGGAGGCCAACGCACTGGAAAGCTCGGAACTTTCGTACAACGCCATCTACAGCCTCTGGAAAGCATTTCCTATATGATTTCGAGTCGTCAGGATGCACTCTGCCCCTCTTAGGAGTTCTGAAACGTTTAACTGAGACACCCTATATTCATTTTTGGATATAGTTTGCTTATTGTGATTTTTGATTCGATAAAAGAAAGTTTCCACGATTGACGTTATTAGATTTTTAAATTCTTGTAAGATTTAATTTTTATATTTAAGTAACTGTCTCTGTCACTACAACCCCTTCGGACGGACCTGGCATCCATTTTGCCGGGCATCGATTTTATTCCATTTTAACTTTAGTATCAGAATCGCAGGATTTTTGTTTTATTTGATGATGAAGACACTATTGATTTCTAAAGGAGACATGTTGAAGCTGTTTTGCATATTCAAACTGAAGGAAATATCTTGAAGCTATAGGGCATATGCCGATTGAAGGAAATATCTTGAAGATATTAAACTATTCCGACTGAAGGAGTTAAAAAATAAAAATGAAAAATTTCAAGGAGCCAGGACCAATTTTCGCAAAACTATGGAGCTATCATGCTATGGAATTTAAATTAGCCTAACAGCTTTTTTGCCTTTAGGTCAGGGCTCGAAAAAACTCAGAAATTTTACCCGTCCCCGAGGACGGCATGTCCAACAATGTACCCGTCCTCATTTAAAACTAATCCGTAGCTTCTAAATAAATAAAAACATAATTTTCTTCCATTTATTACAAATATTTATATAAATTGCAGAAGGAATTAGAAGTTACTAGGATTACAAATACTAGGATTACATTATACAGTAATAAGAGAAATACTAGGTTACTAATAGTTACCTAGTATTTGTTTTATGAAATAATTTGAATGACAAGTTATCGGGAATGTCAATTGATCCGAGGGTGTTGCGTTTCTTTAAATGAATCAAATATGACTATTGCCAGTTCCACAATCAAGCCAATGATTTACAGAGGTTTCTGCACAGAAATCTGAAAGGGGTTCTGCATTTTGGTAGATGTTCATAATTGCGTTTAACGCTTCTTGTTTAAGACCAGTACGTAATGTGTTTTTTTGTAAGTTCATTGCTGAAAAGCCCCTTTCAACCGCTACAGTACTCCCAGACAGAGAAAACATCAATTCCACCATACGCAGTATGTTGCGTATTTCTAGATTAGAGGGTCATTTTAGAAGTGAGGCGCTAGATTCTTGTAAGACGACAAAAATTGAAAATGTATCACGAACATTAATGGGAAAATGGCCGTCCGTGTGGACGTCGGATTTGAGAAATTCGTTGTCCGTGGGGAATTTTTAACCGCCGAGGACGGGCGGACGGGCAGTTTTTCAAGCCCTGCTTTAGGTTACAATTTTCTAAAATATTGCAGATGAAATGGGATAAAAATACTTACACTTCGTCTGGACAGTAATCTGGTTTCGTCATTCGGTATCCAGCTTTTAAAAGATTATATAGTCTTTGTGGTGTTATTCCAGGATAAGGACTCGCTCCTAGAAAGGGAAAAAATGCTTTTTCAATATTTTGTAAATTATACATAAGATTAAAAAGGCTTTATCTTATCAAGTTATATTTCCTTTTTAAAATATGTGTATATGTCTTTAATTAATTTTTATATTTGACTTTGAATTAAATGAACAGCACTAGAGAAATTTTTTTTCTTCAGTTTTTTGTAGTATGAGATTCTCTTAACGTATCTTGGATATTTTCACATCGCTGATTTAAAATCTACAATAGGTATCTCTCTCCAAACTACAGATTTTTTTTATTTCTAAAATCGCAGTAAATGCAATAAAAACCGCAATAAAAACCAATGCCGGGAAATGCCATCATACGTCAGTAGAGGCACTTCCCTATTAGGAACTGTTTCTTCTTGGAGTTAGGGTGCTTCCCCTATTCGGAACTGTTTCTTCTGAATTAACAGGGAACTGTTTCATTAATAGAGAAGTGCCCCTGGCTGCGTACGACAACATTTTCGGGAATGGTTTCTTAAGCAGTTTTAATGCTAATCATGCTTCCTAACTCGCCTAGAAATTTGTCTCAACATTTTCGCGATCCGTTGTACATTTCGACAAAAAATAGACCAAAAGTGTCATTTAAAAAATCTGTTGCTATAACAGCGAAACTAATTTAAGCGTTGAAATCCCCGCCCCCAAATCAAGTAAATCAAGTAATTGTGTAATTACAACAAAATTTGTTCCCCACTGTACTTTGAACTTAAATTAGTATAGTGTATAGGTTTTGAAAATTGTTTTTTTTCTTTTATCGCTTAATAAGAAAGTTCGATGGTGAAAAATATTGAGAAAAATTTCAACGCTTTAATATCGACTCTTTATTGTGTCAGACAGTGTTCTGTGTAAGGATATCAGAGCAACATTGAAAAAATCTAACTTGTCATTTATCATTTGAAGAGATGATTTGATTATGTATATCACACTAGAGATAAATACACTTAGGCAATGGTTTGAAAATAATCCATATGATCCAAAGACAACTTTGTCCAGTCTTTGCACTGAACTATACACAAATTAGATGGAAAAGCCGATGGTGTCAGTAATAACCCGGTTGTCGCATCACATTTCCTAAATATTGGACCGTGGATGAGCTTTTCTAGCTCTGAAATTCATGAACATTAGAACTGATTCCTTATCAGTAAAAGTCGATCAGAGGACAGATTAGAGTACAGATCAAAGACTCTGCGTTTAGCAATGGAATTAGACCTCAACGCAAGCCGAAGGAAAGAAGACTCCACTCACCGTATGCGCTGCTATCATGCGCAGAAAATACACTTCATCCTAATTTTATGTAAAACAAATTGTGGCCGTTAACTGTTATACCTCAAACTTAAAGTTCCCAGTTTTATTTATTTATTAATTTTCGAATCCAACAGGAATGGATATATTTCTCGTTTCCAACAAGAACGGATTCTTATTTAATTACAGACTAATTATTCGATTAGATGATTCATTGATTTGCAGACTTACTGATTAGCCCCCTTTCTTCCTTCACTCTTTGCTTTCTTTCTTTATTTGCTGAGGAGAATCCGTTATGATAAGAATAGTTTCCACAGCTACGGGAAGATGCTGGGATGGCCTGGTTAGTAGGGCGTTGGGCCAATGTCTAAGAGGTCGTGAGTTCGATCCCTTCCCCCTGAAGAATCTCCGTATAGTAAATGGTGAACGGTACAAGTTAAATCTATTGGGTCACAAAGTGCTCAAAATTCTCATATCAAGTAAATACCTCTGGAGGTACCGAATTGGAGATTTATCGTTCTCTGTTTCTGACCAAAATTACAATCTGTGGATGAATAAAAAGGGCTGAAGTTCGCTTCTTCTTTTTTTTTGTTAGATGAAAACTGGTATAAGAACTTATAAAAACAGCTATGAAACACGTTTACGGTTTAACCAATTCTTGCACTATATAAGGGCTTAAATAAGGTGAAACACACAAATAAATATAGCGTGCGAATTTCCGAACTCTTATTTTCTTAAGCTAGATAGCGTATTTTTTACGATTAGATATAAATTAAAATTAAATATTAATTCACACAAATTAAAAATACATGAAAACTTGAACTAAAAGTACAAAACCTATAAACAACCTATTCAGAAAAATTCAAATGCATTTTTAAAAGAGAATGAGCTCCCCTTCATAAGGTAGTTGAAACTGACAATGAGAAACAAATAGATGGAAGAATGCAGGGCGGAACAATCAACCAACACGATGGAAACAAAGGACGAGGAGCAAATTGAAATCAAAGAAACAACAAAATTGGGGGAGACGTGATTAAGAAATGAGAGCAAAAATAAAATGAGAAAAAGGAGCACAAATTAGAAACATAATCTTTGAAACAAATGATTCCAATCAGTAGTTAAACATTAAGAACCAATTTAATTTATAACGCCATGTCCTTTTTTTTTTATAAAAAATGACTTTTCTGTCTGTAAATTTGAAACCATTGCAAAAGAACCAAATATGTTTTGCAACAGAAAAAAATGTGAAAATTTCTTAATTAGATCTCTCGTCTGAGGTTTTCTTCATCAAATATTAGTTAACTAACCGATGAAGAGTGTTCTCATTCTTTTCAAATCATGCATTTATTTTTCTGTATTTGTCTAAATAAGCTTCAAGAAACACACATATTGTATAAAATTTATTGAAAAATAAAATTTTTTAAACCTACCATTCATCATGATTTCCCACAGAACAACTCCAAATGACCACCTGAAACCAAAAAGATTATCTGTTGAAAAAATTATTTTAGAAAGTTAGTTCTGAGAAAAATATTAATTATTTATTTTTTCCTTTATATCGTTACTAGCTGTACCCTGCGTGCGTTGCAACGCTTTCAATTTGAATTTGAATTTTGTATTTAAGTGTGTAAATGACATTTGCGATTATGATTTGAAATGCAAATTTTATTTAATGGTGAAAAAAAGCAGTTAATTCTCTAGGATATCATTAGTGCATTTTCAAACAGACATGTATGGTGATGCACACGGAGCATGAAACATATTTTGGACAATGATCTGAAATAAGACTGGATCTATGGTGACATCAAGAATTTCTGCTGATATCTGATCAGTTTTAGAAGGTGGTTTTTTTTCAATAAGCCAAATTAGAATGTGTGCCTGAGGCAATCCTCGTTTTTGCCATTCAATAGAGTACACCCAACACCGTGTCTCTCTAAAAACATGACGCTTCACAATGAAATCAAGTAAAGATATTGTTATTAAAAAAGACACACGTGCTGTAAT